TTGAGAGAAAGATAAACAGCCATGTGGACATGTCCAACTATTTCAAAGAGACATTTCACTGATGACTAAAGGTCGTGACCTGGAACAAAATCACTTCAGCTTCATGCTGTTTATGTTCATTTAACTACATTTGGTCCCATTACAGTATTTCATTATGTGTTTCTGAGTCTCAGTCTAGCAGAGTCTAGAACTGGATGATTAAAAGTAACATGATGAAGTTTCAGCAGAATCAGTTGAGCTGGTTCAGATCAGCAGATCTGGTCTCAGGTCAGAAACCTCCTCAGGTAGATTTAAGGCCTGATTCATTTTAACACTTAGTTCAGCATCATGATACAGATAATCAGAGATCAATAAAAACATGGAGAGCTCAAACTACAGGTTTGTCAGATGTCCATGTGATGAGATGGGGTTAGGCATACTAACATCCACACACACACACACACACACAAAGAGAGTTCGGTCCATTCTCTAGACTTTGACGCTGTGTCTTCAGTTTTTAAAGGGTTAAATAAAACACTCAGCAGGTGGAGAAGCCAAAGCTCCACATGCCTGTCTGCCTAGTTGTAGTTGCTAAGCTGTGATTAGACAATCAGTGTTTGGAGGAGGGGTCGTATTTTTATTCTCTGAGTTGTGAATATTTATGAACTGGCACCGACAGACTGAGTTCAGAGTGAATGACTTCATCATGAAATATTTCCTCCGCCCATAGCACGCTTCATGTAGCCTCACCTCTGGATCCTGGCCACTGAAAACACATTATAGCTTCTTGTCATATGAGTCTGCAGCTTTACTCTGCAGCCACAGAAAAACACTGGCTGTGGATCAGGCCAGAATCTATTACCAAAAATCTCTCACTCATGCTTCCTGCAGCTCTGCAGAAATTTGGGGCTGAATAATAATCTGCAATTGAGGTCAAAAATCCTGGTTAATTTATAATGCTGTCCTCGACTTCCTCTCCCTGTGCACCCACAGAAAGGGCTTCTGGGTAAAAATCCAACGGACAAAGTCAGGTCGGAAAATCAGCCCAAATCTCAACCTTGTGTTTCTCTTTTTCTACCTTCTGAACTTCTGACTTCTTCCTCTTCTTCATCAAACTGCAGAATATTTTGGAGACAGGAAGTAAAACAGCTGGACCTTTTCACAGCATGTGTGTTGATGTGGGCTGTGTTCAGGATCAACAGACCCATGAGACAACTTGAGTTTCCTGCTGTGTCTTCATGTTACATCAAACTTTTAGCTTTACATAATTGTTAGAAACTGCAGATTCATATTCCCTCCTTTCCATAAGGAGGCACCAAGTGTTGGTTCCTCCACCTGTGAAAGTCCCTCCTCCCACCTTAGAAACAGAGGCTAGGATGAGGACTTCCTCCTCTTTGTCTCCAAACCCCCGTCACCTTTTGAGTTCTGGTGTGTTTGCCATGTGCCTTTATTTTCAAGGTAAGTAGCATTTTCTTTATCTTTCTTTGTTGGGACTATGGTCTGTTCAAATCTGGTATGAAAGTTGATTGATATAGTTTAATTTAATCTATTTAGTTGTATTTGTTAATCATGAAGTAAGGCAAATTATTATTTCAAACATTTATGGTATTCCCTTAGTCATAATCAGCTGATACAGTTAGGGTTAGGGTTACAGGCCCTCTGACTGTGCACAGTGAGGCGAGTGTGCACGGTGAGGCGAGTGTGCACGGTGAGGTGACTGTGCACGGTGAGGCGAGTGTGCACGGTGAGGCGAGTGTGCACGGTGAGGTGACTGTGCACGGTGAGGTGAGTGTGCACGGTGAGGCGACTGTGCACGGTGAGGCGAGTGTGCACGGTGAGGTGACTGTGCACGGTGAGGCGAGTGTGCACGGTGAGGTGAGTGTGCACGGTGAGGTGACTGTGCACGGTGAGGTGAGTGTGCACGGTGAGGTGACTGTGCACGGTGAGGCGAACTTACGCAGCTCGTCAAAGTACGTGTCGCTGCCGTCGGCTCCTGGTACGGAGCAGATCAGACGGGTCTTGAGGAACGTGGTCCACTTGTTCACCAGACTCCGCTGACCTCCCATGTCATTCTGGGTGAACACCAACAGGAAATTAACTTTTACATTGTTGTAGTGTGAAGACAATAAAAGCTTCAGCAGCAGAACACGACCTTATTTTGTTACAGTATCAAACAACCAGGAGCAGGTGAACGCTGGCGTGTTTGTCACAACTTTATTTAAAATATTGGACTGAAAATTAACAATCTCTCACCCTGCAGAGCTGTCCGATGCGGGAGTACGTGGACTTTCCAAGTCCCTGGGCCTCAACCGCTGTCTCACGGAAGAAGAAGAAGATCTTGTCATCGTCAGGGTTTTCACTCTCCGGGACCCAGAAGGAACCAACAAACTTTGGTTCTAATGAAACAAAGAGACGATTTTTATTCTGGTGTTTTCTCCAGAGGTAACTATCAGATTCAGACACACACACACACACACACACACACACACACACACACACACACACACACACACAACACACGTATTGCAACGACACACACACACACACACACACCAGACACACACCATTGAGCCAGCGTGAGTCGTGCTGCTCGGTGCGAATGGAAGGGCGTTTCCCCAGACTTCTGAAGATGGTGAAGTCACGCCCCATTAAATCTGTGGCCACACCTGCATACAGCTCATCACCTAGGAGACAGAATTAATCAATAACTCATCGATTGCTTGGGAATGTTTTAATGACTCACACACCAAACTATGTATGAAAATAAAATGTTTACAATTATACACTCGTGAAGTGGCATCAGCTCCGTTTTCTGAACTGAATCAGTTCTGATACGATGCAGAAACCTCCAGTTAATAGATATTTAGCTCATATTGATGAGCTCATATTGATAGGCTGATATTGTGTTTAGTTACCGACGAGCACTGAGGCAGCATTGTGACGAGGATCGTATGGACTCTTCCCTTTCCCATCTTCCACCTTAGACGGGTCAATCCTGAACACATGGTCCTGATGGAGAGAGAGACAGAAGTGTGTTTAACGTGTCTCACTTATGCATGTGTGTGTGTGCATGTGTGCGTGTGTGTGTGCATGTGTGCATGTGTGTGTGTGCGTGTGTTTCTTACTCCTCACCTCCATCCTGTGTCCCACCTCTACGAATGCACAGGTCGGGTGGAAGGCCCCGGTTCCACAGGCGTACAGGTGGGTGCGATTATAGTGGTGCACGATCTTCACGTAGTTCACACAGTCAGACTGAAACACACACACACACAGGGTCAGTTTACCCATGATGCACTAAAAACAGTCATGTTGGAGGGAAACATCCAGACTAAGTCACAGGTGACAGACCCACAGAAACAGAAAGCCCGTTAACTAACGACCGCTTAAATCTATACAACACATTGAGCTTTCATTAAACTATGACTTCTACCTGTCCACTCTTTACACTAAGCTAGCCTGGAGGCTGTATTCATATGTAATGTACATATATGAGAGTCGTGCTGTTCATCCGTTTACCTGTATTTACCCTCCTTCACATCAAGTAGTTTCACCATGGTTACCGCTCTGTGTGTGAGAGCAGGTTATTGACCCACAGACTCGTGTGTCCATGATGGAGTCTAGTTCACTCGTGTTTTTTCACATGTGTTTCTCTGTTTTCTTCTCTCTGACTCTTTCATCAAACGTCTTTCTTCCTCTCACTGTTCTGCCTCACCAGAGGGTGACACACAGAAAGACCAGAGTGTGGAAGCAGTGGCACAGGAACTGTGGCTCATTAGGCCTGACACACACACACACACACACACACACACACACACACACACACACCTCAATGCATTAGAACAAAGCCCTGACTTTCAGCCTTTCAAACACACCGGGGAGTTAGAGCTGGAGTTGTTGGTGTGAATACACGTTTCTGTGTGTGTGTGTGTGTGTGTGTGTGTGTGTGTGTGTGTGTGTGTGCGTGTGTGTGTGTATGTATGTATGTGTGTGTGTGTGTGTGTGGGAAGGTGTTCAACCAAATCACTGGGCCTGATTATGCGTTGACACACACACGGAGACCCCTATTTCCACAAAAAAGAAGGGGGCACACACACTTCGGCTTTACCTTCACCCTCAGGCTGAAGCACACACACACACACACACACACACACACACACACACACACACACACACACACACCTCAGCTTTGACTCTTTCGAACACCAACACGTTCCTTTTATGATATACACCATGCCAATTTTAAATCAGTGTCTTTCTCAGGGTGTGTATTGTGTGTGGTGTGTAAGTGGTGTGTTGTGTGTTGTGTGTGATGTGAGTGTGTGTGTGGTGCGGCTTGTGTTAGCGTGTGATGTTGGATAGTGGTGTGGTGTGGTGTGTGTGTGTGTATGTATGTATGTGTGTGTGTGTGTGTGTGGGAAGGTGTTCAACCAATCACTGGGCTGATTATGCCGTTGACAAACACAGGAGACCCCTATTTCCCACAAAAGAAGGGGGCACACACACTTCGGCTTTACCTTCACCCTCAGGCTGACACACACACACACACACACACACACACACACACACACACACACACACACCTCAGCTTGACTCTTTCGAACACCAACACGTTCCTTTTATGATATACACCATGCCAATTTTAAATCAGTGTCTTTCTCAGGGTGTGTGTGTGTGTGTGTGTGTGTGTGTGTGTGTGTGTGTGTGTGTGTGTGTGTGTGTGTGTGTGTGTGTGTGTGTGTGTGTGTGTGTGTGTGTGTGAGGGCAGAGGAAGGTAAGGGAGTGATTGGTTTGACAGTCATTTATTTGATGTGACAAAAGAGAAAGAGAAAAGGAAGGAGGAGAGAGGGAGGTGAATTATACCAGCAATCACATTTCCTTAGTGTGTGTGTGTGTGTGTGTGTTATAAAGGGTTCACTGGTCGACCTTTGACTTACCACTGCCTCATTAGTAGAAACAGTGAGTGAAGTGCGGGCTGTGACCTCACAGTGACCTCACAGAGCTTCAGCTCTTTGTATTGTTCT